GAAAGATAATCTTACTTTATCTTGGTCAAAATTACATGATTCAATTTTTTTATTAGACTTAGTCCAAATAATTGACAGTGCTAACGAAATTAATTCTTCGTCTTCAGGCAATAGCTCAACTTTTTTTCCACGAATCTTTAAATTAAGAGCCGAAGAAGGTGTTTTTGACATTTTAATAATAAATTGTTGAAAAAAGTAAATAGAAAAAGAAGAATTTAGATACAATTGTTTTGATGTTTTGATGCATTATAAATTGATTATATTATAATAGAGTGAGTAATAATACTAAATTTGATGATTCGATATAAATATATAGATTGAGTAATGATCATGATACAGTATTTAATTGGCTAATTTGCGGATTTTTTACGGATTTGCGGATAATTGCGGTTTGCGGATTTGCGGATATTTGGACTTCTGAAATCTGCAAATCCGCAATATTGCGAATCCGCAATTAATCCGCAATTGCCCAATTACGGCACCATCCTTAACCTTGACTAAGGTAACATTCAGATTCTTTTGCGACATAATAGTTCGTATAGAGGACCACAAAAGGTGGTTGGATTCTTTAAGCAATCTGGGAATAAAAGAAGCATCTACATACAAAGACCATAAAGAAAGTAATTGAGCACAATCAGTGGCGACAGTAATCTTGGAATTCTGAGAGAGGGAGTCCAGTCCATATAATAAAGCAAAAATTTCTGAGCGTAGAGCAGAAGGAAAAATGGAAGAAATATGATTATAATGGGATTCCAAAATAAATCCATCAGGATCTATAGCAGTCCATGCATAAGCCATCGAGAATACCGGATGACTAGAAGGAGGAAGGAAGGAGCCATCAATATAAAGTGTAGACACCGAAGAAGGGAGTTGGATATCAGAAATCTTAGACATTTGTTCATTCATAGAAGGTGACTGATCCGGGGCAAAAAGATGGAATAATGAAAGAGATTTGGCATAGCCTAGTGAGACAGAAAGTGAAACCGAGCGAGTATCTGCATGTATATAAGTACGAGGTTTCGTAGGATAACGGATCAAACTTGATAAAGGCACGTAGGAGAAGCACTTTTCAGAAGGACATCGTTTAAGCAATGTCTTAGAGGTGGAGAATTGCGGGAGAGCAGAGGCACAACCTTGGCATGCAATAAAATCAGAAAGCAAGTCATCAATTGAAGACGCAATCCAATGTGAAATAAGGGCTTCATTACGTGGAGCAGGATAGGTAGTAATCACATGGCCAACAAGAAAGGAGTTAGTATTACGATTAAAAGAAATAGCCCATTGAGGGTTAAACCAATAATTTCGACTAATATCTATAAGAGAAATAGAAGCTATGGTATGCGAACTAGGAATTCTAAATTGTTGTAAAATAAAAAAGGAGGGTGAATTAGGAATAACAATAAGATTGAACAAATAATTGAACCAAGCAGGCACAGATCCTTTGTTCGACACTCGTTTAAGAAAACGTAAATCTTTCCATGAGAGAAGTCGAGAGCCACATGGTGTAATCATTTGAGCAAGAAAACGAGTGCAGAAATTTTTCTGAACATTTTTCATGGAAGTAAATAAATCTTTCAGTAAAATAGACCAGAGCGAAATCGCTGGACGTAAATCTTTCCTTGGAGGTCAGAATAATAAAGACCACGTGATATTTAAACGAGAAAAGAACAATAAAGAGTTGAACAAAGAATGTGTTCGCAAGGAAAAGGTATGGGACCATGGTTCCAGGTCAATAGTAGAAGGACAGGCATCACAGTCCAAAAAACCTTGGAGATAAGTAATCATATAATTGGCAAAAAGTTTATATGAAGGGTGAGAAAAAATCTTCTGCCATGAAGCCACATGGGATGAAAGAAATCGACCAAATGCTTGTTGGATAGAGAACGGCAACAAGGTAAAAAGCGCAGAAAGAAGAGTGACTGAGGCCAAGCCAGCCTTCTGACGAATAAGAGAAAGCATTGGAGAAACCATGCGATTAATGGTGGATTCAGCAAATAATGTGGATTGTAGACGAAACTCTAGCCTCGGAAGTAAAACAATATTATAAAGATAGGCCACGTGTTGTGCCAAAAGTTTTTTAGGACTAAGTAAAGCAGCCATATCTTTGACCATGGAAACAGTTTGGTTGTGAACAAAACGAGAAGAAGCTGAAAGATTAAACCAAACACCTAAAAATCGAAAAGATGTAGATAAGGCTAATGCCTTTAAAGTAAGGGTATGAGATGTAATTAGAGGAGATGGAGAAAGATCAAACACAATAGTTTGAGAAAATTGTTCAGAAGAAAGAAGGATATATTTGGCTGAATTTGCTTGAGTGTTATTTAAAGTATAAAATTCAGCAGTAATGGAAAGGCGATCTTCAATTCCTCGTTTAGATGAAGCAATTAAAGTAGAATCATCCATAAATGTAATATGCGAAACAGGGAGATTGTGTTGTTCATATTCAATTGGAGAATAATCCAATAATGCAGAAGATTTCAAAATAAAGGGATCACAAGCTTCACGATTAAGTGTAGTAAGCAAAGGATCCAAGTAAATAACCCATAATAATGGAGAAATGATTTCACCCTGGTCAATACCAATTTTCACTCTATATTCAGAAGTATCACCATGATGGGTAATAATTTTATTATTACGTCTTGTAAAAAGGTTGACGATAAATTTAATCAATAGAAACGGTATATGCAGACGGATTAAAGCTAGTCTAAGCATATTTAAATCAATTGAGTCAAATGCCTTAGAAATGTCCTGAGAAACAAGCCATAATTCTTGGTTATCAGATTTGTCAAAACGTCGTTAATGAATAATAGCATCAAGCATCTTAATAGGAATGTCAGTGGAACCGCCTGGTAATCCAGCGAAATTACCACCTTGGAGCACTTGATTGTCAGCCAGGATTTTTGAAAGTCAAGTTGTGACGACCTTAACCACACATTTCCGTACGGTTTCTAATAAAGTGATAGGTCGCGTATTCTTCAATTAGGTGTCAAATTCATGAGGCTTAGGAATGGGATAAACAAGCGCTTCACGCCAATCAGCAGGAATGTCTTCATGAATGAGGCAGGCGTTAGCTAAGACAAGGGATAGACTGAAAGCTTCACCAGTTAAATGTTTGAGCATTTCATAAGAAATTTTGGAAGGACCGGAGGCCTTGTTATTAGGCATGGAATTGAGGGTGTTCTTTCATTCATCTTCCAGAATAGGAGACATGACCGAGTTAAATAATGACGAGTCAATATCAGGAAGAGGAGCATATGCTCGTTGCCATCGAGGAGGAAATGAGTCTGTAGAAGAATACTGGATCAAAGGAGGAGTAACAACCGATTGGAAATGTTTTATAGCAGCTTGCTTGATATCAGAAGGATCAGTAAGCAATGTGGGTTTGGAGTCAATAACCACCAAAACTCTATCAAGGACGATAGAACGATGTTCCACTGATAGGGCTGAAGAAATAAAAGAGCCTGGAGACGTAGAGAAATGTTCATCTCTAAGAGCGGTATAATATTCTATGGAATCTACACGATGTTGATAAAATTGCGTGGAAAGATATGCAGAGACCAAGGCTTTTTGCGAACGCAAAAATTTGATAAAAGCAGGAAGTGGTGTCGTACTATAAATAGGTATAGCATAATCTTTCAAAAGAGATTTCAGAAGAATTAATTGTGTAGACAAAGAATTAATCATCTGGGAAATTTGAGCAGGACGACTAGGCCGAGACGTGGTTAGTTTGAACAATAATCTATCCAAGAATTTGTTGATAGCAATAAGCATCGTAAGCTCAGGAGGATATTTATGGTGATGGGTATTGGATACATGTTGAAATGGTAAAGAATCAATGGCACCACCAAGAATAGAACGTTTAAGAGCGTGCTAAAGTTTGTCCAAAGAAAGAGCTGAGAGTGAAGTTATGGAAGGATGGTGTGTGGTCAAATATAACTCAAGACGTGAGTTTACTTCTATGGAAAATTTGTCCCAAGTATCATCTTTCAATTCTTTGTAAAGAAAGATGGTACGTTGTTCACTTTTCTGTTTTAATCTAGCTTTAGCCAAAGTAGCAAAACAAGAGTTAAAATCAAAGGCCGTTATAAGTACATGGTGATCAGTAAATTGATGATCATTCAACTTGGGACAAGTTTCAACATAAGAGAAAAGACCAGGAGCAGGGAATCCAGGAGATGACCAAATATAATCAAGTCTTGAAGAACTATTCTGATGATAAAAAGTAGGACTAGGACCTGAAATTGAAGAGATATGGGACTGATGATCCGTAAAATATCGAGAAGAAAGTGATCATAAAATTTTTAAATGATGTAGAGGAAGGTGTGAATGTGAAATTTCATCTGCATTAAAATCACCTAGGATGATTACATGATAATTATTAGAATGGGCTTTATCAAGCCAGAAATTAAGTTGGGCAAAAATAGCATCACGTTCTTTATAATGAATCGAATGATAAGGAGGAATATAAACAGAAATGATAGAAATTTTTGTTTGATGAAAAAAAAGATCTAATTTTAATAAACGACCATTCTAAGGATCAATTTTCTGAACATGTTTGTGTAAAGGATGCCCTATGAAAAAAAATCATCCAATTTTTGTACAATATTTGTTCAAGTCCGTGTGGAAATTGTACAATTATTGCAGATTTTTGGATAAAAATAGCTATGAAGATTTTCAAAGCATATTAAAAGTATGCAATTTTTGTACAACTTAAATTTAAGATATAGAAAATGTTCAATTTTTGTGTGATTTTTATACAACTTAAATTTAGGATACAGAAAACATTCAATTTTTGTACAATAAAAATTGTGATTATTGTACAACTTGAAAATAGACTTAAATTTAGGATACAGAAAGCAATTTTTGGGTAATCCTACTATACTACTTTCCATCTTACCTGTATGGTTACATTTGACCACTTTTAGGGTCGAATAGACCACTTTTAACCATTACAAATAGATTTTCCTAAGTAAAGTGATTTATGCAGTAAGGTTACATAAAATTCAACTGCATATTTGCTTATAAATGGGCATCTTCTGGACCCATTGGTGAAATTTTTGTATCATCTTGTAACTAAAAAAAAGTCAAAAACTTTTTATTAGGTTACACAATTAGTTCTGACCGGAATTATAATTTGGCCAGAATTATGCGGTAAAAATCAACTCTTAAAATTATATATGTTGATCACGTGATCTGATCGTCAAAATAAATATGACGACGCGAAATGTTTTTGTTTATGTTTTTTTAACCTTTTAACTTTTCTTCAACTTTCTTTTAAAATATCAGGTAAGAAAAACTTGTGTTCTTTATCTTTTTATTTTCCTAACTTTTTACATTTTAATGTTACTAACTTGCTTTCTTCACTAACTTCATACTTTTTTTTATTACTAATACTAATAATTTACTTTTTAACACTACTAATTTGCTTTCTTCACTAACTTCATACTTTTTTATTACTAACACTAATAATTTAGTACTTTTTAACACTAC